AGATTTTGATTACCTATTGGTACACCCTTTCTAAACACTTTTTGACATTTTGTATTCGAAGATTATAAATCAAGTTTATATATTTTAAATGTGATCTTCGTTGCTTTGAAAACATACTTCTTACATTTTTTTTTTTTCAATACAGAAATTTTTTAATCGCACAATCAACGTTAAAGTCGTGTAAGCTTATTTATAGGACAACTGCCTATCAGCAAACTCGAAAACTTTTTTGGGTATCTATTAGATATACCAAATTCGATCGACTCAATTTCTTTTTCTTCGATAATGTTTGTAATATCCAAAGCGTGTATGTTAGGAAACTTATTAAAATCATGCTACCACCCAGTTTTTACCTTTTTTTATGACGTTTATTACGTTTTCATTTTCATGTAAAACCATTTTCAGATCTGATTTGTATTTAATACATACAGCTTTACGCATTTTACTAAAGATAATTACATTAAATAATGTGTTGCTCTTATATTTTAATCTTTGTAAAAATTTTAGCAATTTAGAAAACTCATTTGTTTTTTTTGTTTTTTTTCAGTTCGTATAAACTATGAATCAAAGAGGTGAAGGTCAAAATCCGTTCGATTTGTAAAAGAGTTACCAACATACAGCTTTACGCATTTTACTTAAGATAGTTACATTAAATAATATATTGCTCTTATATTTCAATCTTTGTAAAAGTCTTAGCAATGTATAAAACTCATTCATTTTTATTTTATTTTTTAGTTCGTATAAACCATGAAGCATGCTGTGCCATGCCAATCCTTTCAAAGATTTTTGAAAATCGGGATAGTGTTTACAATCCGGAGTACAATTTGGTGTAAACTGACACGGACAATTATCAACTCCTTTCTTTATTCCCTGCATGGCAGCGTATAAACCTAGGAAAAATAAAAAACAAAATACGAATAAATACTTAAATCGTTTCTAAAAGTTATTAAATTTTCTTACAACCGAATGGGTTAGTGAATGAAAATGGGTCTTTAATGAAAACACTTTTTTTTAAGACGATTTCACACGTTTTATCTTCGATACGTGTTATGACGTCGTGAGTGTTAGTTTTTTGTATCATCGTGTTTCGTGTAATTATAACGTTATTTCTACTTTTCTTATCCTCATAATCGCTATTATTTTTAATTTTTTCTTAACTGTAAAGGCAACCGTATCAAAATTAAGTTTCAACGCATTTTGATAGTTAATACGAATACCTTTTACTTTACATACGTCATGCGTCTCACCGGTTGGGGTACGTACGCGATAACCATAAAACTTTTGTCCTCTGGAAACAAAAGTTTCTATAAAAGAACCCTCACTATACTCCTCCAACTCGTCTATTAGTTGGCCGAATAATGATCCTATTGGCGGGTTGTATTTCTTAGGATCGTTAGGGTTAGTTATGAATATAATCGAATCAGTGTCATAATTTAACACTCTTTTGCCTAAATTTTTTAAATATGAATACAATTTTAACCGTGCTTGAGCTGTGGTGTAAGCAGCTATAGTTACATTTGTACAGGAGGACGAAAGTGTCGCTTCGTCCTTGTACCTCCATGTGACGTACATTACATTATCGTTTGTCGGAAGACAATGTTCAACGCGAATTTCTTTATCAAATAACAGCTTTAATAACGATTTTTAATCATTCACTATGGTCGTTCTTGGAAGATTTCCGCGTTGACCAAATTTACCCCAAAAACTATTTAAACATAACTTGGCTACAGATCACTAGTCAGAATTTTTTGAAATATTATTTCCATCTAGTTTTATTGTTTCTGTGTTTTCGTAATAAATAATCTAATGATTCTTTTCTGTTTTTGTTTTTACGTTGGTAGGCCAACCACTTGCCTCTTGTTTGATTTTTAAAAAAGTATCTATATATTTGGTTAACAGACCACCACTCCGCGAAACAGGGTCATACTAAGCAGTTTCGTACTGCCAAATTATATCAATTCGAATAAGTTTGTACCCTAATTTTGAAGCTTTTTTTATTCCATCGGAAACCCAAGTTCCTTTTAAAACTCGCTCATTTACATCGTGAGAACATTCATCCTCGCATACTTTCTCCACACACGTCCTGCATAGACCAAAAAGTAGTTTTCCATGCATTATTGTAGGAATTACCGGATGAAACAGACTTGGCGGTGGTAAGATTGCGCATTTAATCGAACCCTTGACGTTATTATTAAAATTCTTATAGTAAATTCCTCTTAAAATAAAACAATCATCCGCATTGTAAATTTTAAGATGTTTTAAAGGAAATTTCCCTGTCTTACATATGTAAGGGTATAAGGAAGATAAGTCTAAATAATTCATTTTTTAGTTCTCTTGAGCGTCTTATCGTGTAACAGTGTTCGCCGCACGACCCTCATAAAAAGCGCATCTTGGATCTAAGATATTATTTTGCGATATCGGATGATTTCCAAAAAAATTAAAAAGTTCATTATTTTTTTTCCAAATATTGGTCGAAATCACATTCTCACATCTTAATTACACTGTAACCGTATTCTTTCATTCTCGAGGTCATTTGTAAGTGTGTTTTCATAACGCTTTGAATAGCTTTCGAAATTAGTTAGTTTCTTCGTTCGCTCATCGGGGTAACAACGCGGACACCCGTGAAAATAACAGCTGTGAAATTGAAAAACTATATCCTTAGAATTTTTTTCTCCAGCCATAGGTTTTAAAAAACTATCGACTACTGGTCCTTCTATTAATCGATATTTCAATGACCGTCCTGCATGGATTATTTCGGTATGTCTAGTTTTTTCCTTACATAGTAACCATTTAACCAATTTTTCTAAAAAATGGCTTGAGTGTGTAAATCCGTTTTTTGGAATAATACCTATTGTATCGTTTTTTAAAACATTTTTTTTTAAATACAAATGAGCAAGCGCTTGAAATCGTTACGCTTTCTACAAAAGGATCAACGTTTCCGACTGGTAGAAAGATTTTTCTAAAAGCTGTACACGCCTGACGCAATATTTTAACATCTTGCACGCAATAATTTACCAAATCCTTCTGCATATCGAATTCTTTTTTTTCCTTGATAATTTGGTCATATCGAAGTACAAACTCTTGACGTTCTTTCAAACTCATTGTGTCTGATGAAAAAAATTTAATTGATGGATACGGTCCTTTCTAATTAAAACTCTCTTTGGTCGTAAAAAGATGGGAAAATACCCTTTTTTTGAATTATCTACCAAGTTTAAGGTTTTCGGTAACTCTGCTTATTTCATTGGTAAATAATTAAGACTATCGATGAATTTGGTTTTTCCAATGGTCATTTATATGATATTTCACCCGTTTAAAATGACGTTAGGAGTTTTGTTTTCAGAAACAAAATGTTTTAAAATAAATTGAGCGTCAAACAGTTTTGCATTGTGCGTTATACAAATAAAAAAAGAAAACGTTTCACTTTTTTCACGTACAGCTAAGTCAACAAACATTTTTAAACATTCCTAACCCCAAAAATTATTTCTTTTACATCACAAAATTCACAAATGGATGATTCTGAATACATACAGTCATCACATCGAATTTAAGCTAGGCATAAAATCGGTACATGTATGCGTGTTTTTACCGTATCGTCTAAAGTTTCATCTTGACGTGTCTCAAAATTATAAAAAATAAAGCAATTTTTTTCTTGTCATTTTTCTCTCTTACAGCTTGAATCATACACAATTCATTTAAATCATTTATAGTTTTACACTGTCTGCAGTATTTTTTCCACATTCGTGTTCTCCTTTTGCTAAGTTATAAAATTTTGCACAAAAGCTTCACATTTTTAAGGTGTCTCATACAGATTTTTTGGCTACCCAATGTGTTTTTCTTCGTACATATAACACACAACACAAACGGTTTTTAAAACGTTTTTTATTATAAAAATACGCCCACAGTCTTCACATTTCATTTTTTTCATTTCGGAAGTATTAATATTATTACAGTTAGGGTTTGCATTACGTGCCGTGCAAACAAAAGGACACGAATGATTTACTATTTGTCTGTATGTTTTATTACACGGTAAACAGAAAAACATATTTGTTTTGATTGCTAAAAAGTTTAAAATTAAATTATAATGTTTAATATTATTGTAATACATTATATTGATAAAAAACTATAATTTGATGGCATATCTTTTGACCCCTCATAAGTTAAACACGTGCCAGTCCCAAAGTGTTTGTAGTTGAAAACGCGAATGGCTATGTTTTTTCGTAAAAAATATTTTTGAAACTTCACAATTTCTGGATATCCAAAAGTGTCTGTATCTTTTTTAACTATATCACTATCCTTTAATAGTTTTAGAGCTTTTTATTTTTGCTCTCTTTTATTTTTACCATTTTTCCACTTTTTCTTATATTTGTCAGTGTCATTTTTATTTGCATAAACCTCGCTGGAAACAAGAGCCCTCGCGAGATATAAATAATCATCATTTTGAATGCTTAATACTCCTTTCTTTTCTATGTTTTTCATAATATCTACGGAGGCACTCAACTCTTGAGGCACTTGTACGTATGTTACCTCAACAATTATATTTTGTAAAACATCGAAAGTTATCTTACTCTGTTTGATCCTTCCAACAGTTTTAGAAAATCTTTGGCCGTGAGTGTGTAAAGAGTCTCACTTCACTTGTTTTCGGTGTCGTATATGGTTTTTGCTGCTGCTGCTTTGGTTGCTGATGCTGTTGTTGTTGTTGATAAAGCTGATGTTGTTGTTTTATTTCTTGTTGTGAACCACTTGGCTTCAAATCAGTCAGCTCTAACAAAATAAAAAAGTATTTTCATAAACTTCTTTTATAATTTATTAAATAAGAAAATTTTTTTACCTTTATCTGCTCCAAGATATCAAATTTTTTTTGCATTCTTGATGGACCTGCCATGAATTTGTCATCGTACTCGGTGTTTCTTTTCCTATTTCCAATGGTCTGTGGAGAAGTCATAGGACTTACCATCGGTGACGGCGAGGAAAAAAAATTGTTTTGCTCAGCTGTCGTATTCACTGAAATTGGTAACAATAAAATTATTAAAAAAATTAAACCCACCTGACACAGCTTATCTTATTTCTTATCCCTCTTTTTTTTTGGTTAGAAAACGTATGGCCCTTCCACCTTCACAGCGTACTATCACTTAAGAAAACAGGTTCTTTCACGAAAACCATAAAACAAAAATAGTTCTCTTACTCTTCGGAAATCCTAATTTTTGTCACCCTGCAACTAGGTCTGTTGCTAGAGGGTAATAACCTCTAGTTAGGAGCATATGACATTCGGTCTGCATTAACACCCCTTACAAACATACCTCTTGTATAGACCTACTATCCTGATACTTTAGCGCTACTTTTCCTCCTACATCGATAAACAAAAGAATCACCTTATGTCATGGACACCACCTTCCGCAGATATTAAAGATTTAAGGGAGACAGGATTACTCCAGAGGTCCTATATCTTTCCTTTCTACTCTTCACACTCACCTCCAAGACTCCACCCGATTTTAAAAAGTGCGCCACTTTTCGAAGGCCTCAAAATTCCTCGGCTAGGGACCCTTCTGCTTCCCCTCTACCGCCCCTCCTCCAACAGCACAACCAAACACTCACCCCGGGCCCCGACCGGCGACGCCAGAGGGTGACGTCAGAGGTGCCTGGAAATCACTCACCCTTACTACTAACTTATTGACAAATAAATTTAATCCCCTCACCTACAAAAAATGAACGAAAAATAAGTGCCACAATTTTTCCAATGGGTTTTTGGCAAAATGTATATTCAGAACGAATGTTGGGGTAATTTTCCGATTCAGTAAGAGTTTGGAAAATTACCTTATTTTTGCCAGAAATTGGAAATTTTAAAGCCTATATAAGCAAATGCGATAACTGAAACAAGAGTAAAGAATAAGAAAATAACGGGAATTACGGAAATGGTGACAAGAACGAGCAGAATAACGTGTGTTGTTATTCTACAATTAATTATCAAAAATGTCATTTATAAAAATGCACATAAATAAATATTTATAACCATACAATATTTAATATTGTACACTACTATGTTCACTTAAATCAATGTCATTATTGAAGTTCTAAATATTCATAACCATACAGTATTTTATATTATACACTGCTGTGTTCACTTAAATTAATGTCATTATTGAAGTTCTTGAGCTTTTCTGCACTAACAGGTTTGGTAAGAGAGTCAGCAATCATCTGCGATGACGGTAAAAAATCTATTGATATTTTCTTAGAATTCAGCTTTAATGTAATAAAATGATAAAGTGTATTAATGAGCTTTATATAAGCACTAAACTTGGCGTTAGAAGTGAAAACCATCGCCCTCTTATTATCACATCATAGTTGATTACTACTGGATCATTAGGCTGTATGCAAAGTTCTGTGCTCAAATTTCTTAGCCATACTGCTTCTTGAGTTGCTGATGATTGTGGCAGATATTCTGCCTTGGTGCTAGATAGAACAACAGTTTGTTGTCTGCAAGAATTCCAGCTAACAGCACTGCCTTGCATTGTAAAAACATAGCCTGTTATTGATCGCGGATCACTAGAGTTCGATGCCCAGCTTGCGTCACAGAAACCAATAATTCTTGGGTGGACACCCTTTTCGAAGTGCAACGAGTAATTCAGTGTTCCTAGTAGGTACCTGAACTTTGAAGACTTTTTTAACCGCATTTCAATGTTACTGATTGTTAGATTGATTAAATCGGCTCAGGAGTCCAACGACATATGCCTGGTCTGGCCTTGTACCCTTCACGAGATACAGTAATGAACCCACTGCTCTTTCATACAGTGTGTTTTCGGGACACTGAATTTGTGATTGATTCGAGGCGGGCTCCAAATCCAAAGATAGATCCATTGGATTGGTGCAAGGATTGAAATTATCCATTCCATAATGTAATAGGATTTCCCTTGTGAGCAGTTTTTTGTAATTACATTTGTAACTCCACTTGTAAATACATTTGTAAAGACATTTGGATTTTCACTTGGAATTACTTATGAGGTTTTGGTTTGGAGAAGCCATCAGTAATTTCAAGTGGAATTCCAAGTGGTATCACAAGTAACAATTAAATCTGGTTTTTTTATCGGCAAAAAAGTTAAAATAAAAAACAATTTCATGCAGTGTTATGATCTTATAAGATGTTACCATGCATATGGTAACACCAAAACAGAGGGATTTAATTAGTTTTAAGGAAAATAAAAAAAACTACAAAATCAATTTTTTTAGAATTTAAGAAAAAATTTTTGAACCCCTTTGTTTTAGTGTTACCATACGCATGGTGACATTAAATGATGTCATGACACTACATGAAATTTTTTATTAAAACTTTTTTGCTTTAAAAAAAAAGAATTTAATTGTTACTTGTAATACCACTTGGATTCCACTTGGAATTACTGATGGCTTCTCTGAACCAAAACCCCATAAGTAATTCCAAGTGAAATTCCAAGCGAAATTCCAAATGTATGTACAAGTATGTTTACAAATAGAGTTACAAATGTAATTACAAATAAGTGGTCAGAAGGGTTATCTGGTGTAGTCTACTTGGTTTAGAGAAAGGTGACCCTTGGCTTGATTTCTGGTTATTGTTATTCCCAAGAACTTCTGTACAGGGCCAAGATTCTTGATAGGATCATTTATAGCCTTGCCTATGATCTGTATCAGGTACTCAGATGAGTTTGGAAAAACTAGTGTGTCGTCCACAAACACTGCAACGATGATAAGCTTTTTACCAGAAAAATGATAATATATACGGCGATCGTATTGCGACAATACAAGGTTCATCGCTAAAAAAAATCGGTTGAGTAGTTTTGCATTCCAATTTTGACTACCCTGTTTTAATCCATAAATGGCCTTAGATAATTTGGATACTTGATTAGAATTATCCTCCCTAAGAAGTCCTTCTGGTAGATTCATATGAATTTTTTCGTTTAGTTCCCCATGCAGAAAGGCAGTTTTTACATCGAAGTGAACAATATCTAGATCTTGACTGCCCGATCAGAAATTTAATGGGTTTGCCACCTTAGTTAATGGGGTTCCCCTTCGGCTGCCTAGTTGGTACCCCATTAGGCGCGTCACGGGGCGAACTGAGGGTCCATCGTAGGCTGCCCCAATAACCTAGCTAAAACTGTTAAAAACATTATGTATTTCTTGGGTTAAATATATGTGACCGTAATTTAATTCTTCCTTATCTGCACGGCCGATAAACTCCATAATCTGCATAGCACACATGATAAATCAGGCACATGCTCTTATGATAATTGTATTAAATGTAATGATGTACCTACACAAAAAATACAAAGGGTTAGGTAAACTTTCTTTCCTATTGGGGCACACTAGAGAGGACCACATCTACGCCCCGTGACGATGCCATTCTAGGACCACATGTGGTTAATTTGGCAGCCTAGTGTGGACCCTATCAGCACCCCACTAAGGTTTCTGATCGGGTGACTGCACAAGCGAACAAAAGTCGCAAAGTTGTAAAATTGTTAAAGTACTATATTTTTTTGAAAAGATCAGTCGGGCTGTCAGCCTGTTGGGACTGTGGGGATTATTTAATATCCCATAGTTAATAATTTTATATCGAAAAAATTTTCTACCAAATAGAATATTGATAAAGTTCAACCATGAAAAAATTCTGGAAAACACTTGGAATCTTATATAATAAAAAATTTTTATGAACGCAATTAACATACTATACTTTCTTGAAAACATTAGTTGGGCTGTCAGCCTGATATTTTCAAAAAAATTTTGCTTGTTCTCGCTGATATTTCATTTATTTCCGTTATTCTATTATTCCTTGCTTTTATCGCATTTGCGAGTAAAAAGCCTAAACACATGTTTGGGGGTTCCTCTTGCAGTGATATAAGTATGGGTAATTCTTTTGCAAACCGAACACCGTTCTGAATGACCCATTTATCATTTGGTTAAAACGTTTTATATGGGTTCTAAATAAAAAAAAATTCTAATTTTGAAGAATTTTTTTTT